GGAGAAAACTCTCCTGAGTTTTTCTGATACACCGGCTACATAGGGGATGACAATGTTGTTGCGTCTGTCCTTCTTATCCTCCCTCGCTGGTGTCTGGTCTTCTTTTCTGTGCCTCTTTGCTGACTTTAAGAACGCCCATTTAGGATAGCCGCACGTTTTGGGACTCTCCACCATTTGACCTTAGAACTGAAGAAGCTTCTCGGATGAGAGGTGAAACGTCTTCAAGTAACTTAAAGAAGTCCAGATGCTTTTCTTTGCAAGCTCCTTTGATATGTGTGTATTCACATCATTTATGTTAATGAGAGTGTGGGGAGTGAGTTGGAGGGTGGGGTGGGCTGCTTTTAACTATGTAAAGCACTTTGTGCTACATTTTTTGTATGAAAAGTGCTTTAAAAAATAAAGATTGATTGATTGATTGATTGATTGTGTGACACGTTGGTAATGGGACACCTTTTTTATAGTTTACGAGTTGGAACTGAACCAGCTGATTTTAATTTGCACTAAGTGGCAGGATTTACAGTTACTGATAGATTTTAGCTGGTATCATGACTTAATGATTTTTTTTTTAATAGAGCTGGCAGAATTTCAAGAAAATTTTTTCACTTTGTCATTATATTGTGCATATTGTGTGTGAAATTCTGAAAAATGAGTTTGGAACAATAACAAATGAAGGGCTGTGATACTTCCCAAACAGCCTGTATATTTTGGTATGAAAATAATGTTTTAATGTTTAGATTGAGTTAATGTTAATTTTCAATGTTTAAGTGATCATCATACTTGTTACTTTAGCAGACCTAGTGCCTACAGATTATATTCAGACATTTAAATATATTCAGCCAACTGTTAGATTTTAAATAAAATATTTTAGTAGAACTGAAAAAATATATACATCAAACATAAACTAAGGAAATTTCTGAATGTAGTAACCCTTGATTTTTAAATGTCAACTTAATTTTATTTATATAATACATTTAAATGGTAAATGGCCTGTATTTGTATAGCGCTTTACTAGTCCCTAAGGGCCCCAAAGCGCTTTACATATTCAGTCATCCACCCATTCACGCACACATTCACACACTGGTGATGGCAAGCTACATTGTAGCTACAGCCACCCTGGGGCGCACTTACAGAGGCGAGGCTGCCGGACACTGGTGGACTCTGACCCCCACCAGTAGGCAACGGGTGAAGTGTCTTCCCCAAGGACACAAGATCGCCCATTTAAACAAAACCTGACACAAAAATTGTTTTTCAGGCAAACAAACACATTCAGCTCAAAAATCATGTTACACTGTTCTTGCCAAGTTAAAACTAATTGTTGAATCTGGTTGACTCCAACACTGGCCCTGTATTTAGCATTGAATCAATACCAAGTGTAGTGGCGGCACTCCATCTCTATTTCACTCTTCTGTACCACCTTTAGGAGTCAGTCCGGCAACATGTATTTGAAACGCGAGCAAGTCCAGGTACTTTTCTTGCAAAAAAGATGTTTATTGAAACTTTTAATTTACATGGCAATACTCGGTCAAAAAACTGTGTTGCTTCCAGCTTATCCGACTCCCCAACTACGTAATTACAGTGTGCCGGAAGCCCAAAATACTAAAAAGTGCATTAGAATGTCGCACTTTTATATTCTATACCTTTAACAAAACAGTTTTTTGAAATTAACTAGAAATTATATTACTAATATCAAACGTATAATGTATATTTCTCATCTAATCATTTTACCAGTACCAATAAAATTAACCTTTAACACTAGAATTACTGAGCCTCTTTTTTTTCCTGGTACAAGTCCCTACTACTAGATCTATTAGCCCTGCGCAAATTTGCGTAAATCCCCTGAACCTACCGGTAAGACCTCCTAGAATTACTGACTTTTTTATTTTCTGGTGGATGTCCTGAGGTGTTAATCACCCCTGCTGAAATTTTCACAGGTCATCAGCTCGATTCTCCTCCTGTTTTTGTTGTGCAAACCACCCATTATCTTTGAGGCCTGGAAGATTTGCATTTGTTCACTCAGAGTAGCTCAGATCCAAGGTAAGAGAAAAATCTGTGTTACAACCCTACAATGGAGCTGAAGGCCTCTCAGCAGGGTACTAGGAGGTGTTAGGTTCAGGGAATTTACGCAAATTTGCGCAGGGTTAGTAAAAATTCAAATTTTTTATTTGTCACACACACACAACCATACACAGTATGACATGGGGGTGAAATGCATGTATATGTATGTATGCATGAAATAAATGTAGTAGCTCCATTGTTCTCCTGCTTTTGTTGTGCAAAACACCCTCCCCCAACCAGGAGAGATTTGTGTATGTGTAGGAGTGGCATTGCTTGACTACAGCACAGTACTGTGCATAAAAGCAGACCGACCAGGAGGGAGAATCATTTCTTCTTCGCATTTCTGAGAACGCACATCAGGATGGCCTCCGTATCACTGCCATGCAGGAATAACCTATCGGCGCAACATCCTTGGGCCTTGCTTCAGGAAATGGACGAAGCAGATTCTGATGGAGGAGAGGTTTCATTTGTCCAGCAGGCCACTGATACCTCCTCAGAAGAATCTGAAAAGGAGACGGAAGAACCCAACATGCCTCCTCGGAAGAGGCCCCCCTGGTACTGGGAAGCCCTGTCTGAGCCAGACGGCAAAAGAAGGCACTGCGTGGGTAGAGGAGGACAATGGAATGCCCAGTACAGGAGCAAATCGCTCGTGCTTCACTGCGCAAGCTGGACCCACAGAGTCTGCTAAGGTTTGTCATTGCCATATTACATATGATATTTATATAAACCCATTTAGAGTGAGGTTCATGTAAATTTACCATTCTCTATTTGTTTATCTTCCAACAGCGTGAAATTACATGTGTGCTCCAAAGCTTCCTTTGCCTGTTAGACGTGGGAATGCTGCACACCATCAGAGAGTGTACGGTATACCGTACACTCTCTGTAGCAACCGTCTGGCCTCACGGTAACCTTTGTACACAACTGCGAATTAGCTCCTGTGGTTCGCCAGCAGTGAACTGTTCCAAAAAATACAGCTTATCTTGATCGTTATCAGTCTTTTGCTCTACTGCTTGTTCGAAGGCTCTTATGAAGGCCTTATACTGTAGTGCATCACCTTTAAAAACAGGAATGTCCTTTGATGGCAACTGAGCCAGCTGCTGCTGTTTCACAAGTAACTCAGTGATTACATTCTGTTTCTGCATGACTGACAATACATCATCACTTCTGTTAACGTGACCATTAAGCCCATGAGTGGAGACTGGATGTGGTACCTGGGAGTTTTGCACTTGTGAATTAGCGTGACTACTCACATCATCTTGTTGTGGGAGCATTATGCCAACTCTTTCCTTTTTAACTCCTCGACCTTGGGATCTTTGTATTGACACATAACTGCTCAGACCATCTTCAGATCTTTCACATTCTTTGAGCACCTTTAATTTTGCTTGACTTTCTGCTAATGCAGTCTCCAACTCTAACTCTTCTTTTTCCGCTTTGACTCTTGCTGTTTCAAACTCAAGATGTTGCCTAATCCTGGCCAACTCTAACTCAGGTTCTTGCTTTTTCTTCAATGCTGCGGCTCTTTCCAGCAAGGCTGCGTGTTCTGCCTCCTGTTTAGCACGAGTGGAGGAAACTCTAGATGTTGTAGATGCTTGGCTGACTTGAGACCCACGCGAGCTATGAACTGCATCCTTTCTAGCTCCAACCTGTGATGCGCTGTCATCTGGGTTAACAGCTTCCTCCAAGCCAACTGTAACGTGCTCCTGCTGCTCAGCTTCATTTGGAATCATATGCTTATGATCCTCTGCTATCCATTTCTTTGTTGTTTTCATAAACTCTCTTATTGATGCCATTTTGGGCTCAAACCAATTGTCCTGGTCAAATATTTTTTCTTCTTCAGACAAAAGGCTCATAACCTGGTTATTGTGACTTTGAAACTCATTCAGAGCCTATGCAAAGTTACTTTCCACCCTTTCTTTCAAATTTTGAAGGTTCTGAGCATCACTCATCATTATCTTTATCTCCTTTATTTTGCCTGTGATTGTTCCTAATGTTCGTCTTCTTAAAGCAATACATCTTTGTAATTTTTCTTCCAAAGCCTTCTCTGTTAACTTACATGTTCTTCCCACCTCTCTTTCATCTGCCATCTTATAAGTTGCAGGGGTTTATTGGCTCAAGTTGCATGCACTATTTGTCTTCTGCTTAGAATTTTTAATAGACATAGTGTAAACCAGCTTCATAACATGCCAAAAACTCCACATTGACTGTATCTGTCACGGTTTTGGGTCCGTTGGACCCGGTATTTTGAGTTTATTATGTTTTGGTTTAATTTTGCATCATGGATTGTTTTCTTGTTCTCTTGTTGTGGTTGTGATTATTATTATTACAGTTTCATGTTTCTGTTATCCATGTTTTAGGAATTGTGGCTTCATGTATAGTTCAGTTCCATGTGTCATTTTCTGTCTCTCTGTGTTGAGTCCGTGTCTCTGAGTTGTGATTCATGTTTCCTGTTTTATTGTGAAAGCCTTAACTAGAAATTATATTCTTAACATCAAACATGTATATTTCTCCTCTAATCATTTTACCAGTACTAATAAAATTAACCTTTAATTGGCTCTTACATCAGGTATGGCATTTTTACACATTGCTATCCAAGAGTTATGTAAAACTACTTTCAGCTGTTCTGTTGACACAAGCGGGTAGGCTCTACATGTTCGATTTGGCAATACTTTTAACACTTGATATCCTTCATGGTACCACCTTTAAACACAACCCATGTGTCTTTAGCTAGAGTAGTTGCTGCCTTTGGTTTGCAGGTAAATGTGTCAACCATCAGATGTCCACTCTTCTTGACTCTTCTTGAAATAACCATAGATTTCTGTTTTAGTCATGTAGTCATCTAAGGCAGACTTTTCTCAACTTTGCTGGTAAATCAGTGTTTCTCAGTGTTTAACTACCACCACTGTCAGTCAGATGCATAATGTACAAATTGTTTAAAGTGAACATACCTCATCACACATCACTAGGCTGAGAACCACAGCAAGAAAGCCAGTGGATGGATAAGCACCCTTCTTTCCCAGCCATACTTGATGAACATATTTCATGAAAGCCGGATGGAGGATCCAGATCTATTATGAATCAGACATAGCCTTAAATCTGAGTTTTATGAACTATTACTTTCTGCAATGAATTCACAAAATACTTTACATTAGCACGACTGTAGCTAAAAGAAGCCAGTATTTGTTTTTGGTGGTATGGCTTTGACTATTGACCTGCATGACCTTCCAGGCACATAAATGCCAAGTATGAGAGATTGGGAAAACCATAACAATACCTAATACAGAGCAGAGTAAACAGTAAATACTGCAACAAAGAAAAAGCTGAGGTGCAGGTGACTTGTGAAATGGCTTGCACATCTGTAGCAATACTGGATATGCTAAATCAGGTTAATAGTAAAACCTACTGTATATGAGATTATCCAGTTCAGTGTGTAAAATCAGCTGACTTTGTTTCCTGCCTGAATTAATGGTAGCTTATATGCCAGTTTTGTTCATGTAAACCTAAAATACTCACCAAATCTTTGTTAGCTATCTTCTTTAAGTTTGGAGCACCATTTTCCCTGTTAAAAAGATGAAATGAACTGATTACATAAATAAATGCTAATAATTACCTAAGACTAGCACATCACAACAAAAGATTAAGTTGTTCATATAACAATTCATATAACTTTCTGCACTTTTTGCTGTTTAAAAAAAGAAAGGCTGACCTCTGATGGGTTGTCTCAAAAACTGTTTTGTTTAATTTGGTTGTTCTAACAACAAAACAAAAAAAAACTATACTGCATTTTTCCGTACAATTAGCTAAAACTATGTTGCAAACCAGTTAAAATCTGATATTCAGAGCAAAACAGTTGCAATACAATTTCTGGCAACATAGGTTTTAAGACAGTAGCCCTTTTAGCCTACCCTCGATTTAAGTCCTTCATGAGCCACAAAAAGTCATGTGTTTTGAAAGGAAAAAACAAGAGATGAGTGGTATTGTCCAGTCTAGTAGAACTCTCTGGATACATGACATGATGAGTTGTTTTGGTTCCAACATCTGTTTCATAGCCTTTGGTACGCCCCCGATTGATTCTAAATAATACAGAAGGATACATATTTAGCACACATTTTTGCATTTTAGATACATGAATATACATAGACTTATATTATATTGTGGCGAGCTCAGACAAGGAGGAGACGGAGGTATCGTTTGGTCTTGCTTCCCGTGAGCTAGCCAGGGAGCACAGCCGTTTATTCACATTTTCAGAAGAACACTGCCGCTAGCTAACTGCTCAGCGCGGCAACAACAACAACAACACAGGGCGCCCTCTGACCCCCGAAGGACACACCGTCGCAGCGAGAGGGCGTCACCTGTCACTATGGCAACATAAACAAAACATAACTGTACAAACAGAACCCCGAACAGCCCTGACCCGCTACAATATTATACTATATTATATTATATTATATTATATTATATTTTTCGTCTCGCAAGAACATTGTTTACATTAGATTTTGTGTTTGTGTTAAATGATTATTACCTTATTACGGTATCATGGAAATCAATCAGAGGTCCATAATGCGATCCTCTCAAATTTCCAGAATTCCCCACCACGGCACAACTCCTGCAGTGATCAGGACGAGGTTCTCCAATATCTGCAATTGGTGTTATTGTCTGAAATAGCCTCTCTAGAGTTTTATTGTACAAAGTCAAGTTCTGAAGTCTTGCCCCCTGTAAGTTCTGACAAAGAGGAGAAAGTTATTGAAAAAAAATCAAACTTCCCCACAGAACAAAAATACTATAGGATTTCCCAATGATTACAAGTTCATGAGTCACCAGTAAGTCTGGCAAAGATCCTTTCAAACATACACTCCTCTTGATTAAGCTCACAGTTAGATCTTGTCTAAATGCCCACCCCTGTGACTTTTTCCATATCAGCATCAATATTATGATGCACCATTTACAACAACTGTGAAAGATCACTGAAGCTCAAGAGTAAAAAATGTATACTAATTTAGGCAAAAATCTTTTTAGGCCTGAAGTTTATTTCAGTACTTTCATTTGGTATTTAGAATTGTTCTGAAAAGTTTAAGACTGATCTGCAAGATACAACATCAGGATTAATCTGTAAGTTTATTCAAGCATATGAGTTATGCACATTTATGCAATGATAGATTATGAACAGTACTTACACAAACATATTTTTTTGTCTTTCAATTCAGATAGAGTCACAGTTTTACCTCAGAGCTCTAAGTTATCATTAGTGAGAACCTCAACCCCTGGGCCTGAACGCTACCCCTTTCTTGAGAGAAACAAAAAAATACTCATTGCTATATTAAGCCATTTCTTTTGACAGAAGTTATATCCAGAAACACTCCATAAAAGGTTGCAGACCAAAACAATTACCTTACTGATTGTCTTACTGATGAGTGGGAATTCACTCACATGCTATTTTGCCCCATTTAGTAAATCTGGCCCTTTAAAGAAAATGCCAACAATCCAGTTTTATGCGTAGGGAGGCGCTTTCATATTGTGATATTGCGACTTTCACTAAAGGAACTAAAAAGGTTTTCCAGAACTTGTCATTGCCAGTAAATGATAAGGATTTTACCATTCTTCAGGTAGAAATACAGGAGGATGAAGAGTGCAGTATATTTAAAAAAAAAAAAAAAGATAGTACAAGGTGCTTTAAATTTGTGTAGTTTGTTTACTTAAACAATAGAGGAATATTTGTGCTTTTTTTTAGATGGAGGTAGACCATGTCATTTAACAGCAGCAATATGTTGTTAAATGTCATGACATACTTGAATAATAATAATACCTTTAACATCACCACAGAAGCCAAAAAAGTGATATGTTGATATGTTGTTTTTTATTATTTACCTTCCACCAGAGGAAGTCTTTCTCTGAAGGTATATGTTTCTGTGACAGAAAGGGTTCAGGAGCTTCACTGATGATGTCATTAAACCAAGGATCACTGTCTCTTAGACATTTCTGACAGCCACAAAGACTCGGCTCGCGATGACAGAAGGTATATCCAGAAAAACTCCATAAAAGATTGGAGACCAAAACAATTGCTGTGATACTCAGTAGCGGGAAAATGCTAACTCTGGATCTTCCCCATTTGAAATACATATTGGCAGAGTTCCAATCTGAGAACAAATACATGTATGAATGTGAAAAATAGGACTAAGCCTTTAGAATACAGTAATAGAAACAATAACTCTTTACTTATAAATATTTATAGTTTGCAGCATATTAAGAGCATTGCACTGGAATGCACAAAATCGGATAAGCATAAAAAGTTGGTTTGTGTCCTCTTATATTCATGGCATTTGAACAGATAGCATTTACCAGCATAAATCACCTCCCACATTATTAGTTCATGTAAGTAACAAGATCTGTTGTTTGAAGTTGAATAAAACAGTATGACACCCAACAGAATGGAAAACACAGTACAAAATATTTCTAGATCTTGGTCAGATTCTGCATTTGCATGAACTGTTTATCTCATTGTTTTCTCTGCTTACCTCTGTTGCTGTTGAAAAACTCCTGTTCAGTTAAACTTTCATTGTGGTTCTGGTGCTGATTAACCTAAAATGAAGTAACATAGCAACAAAAACAACACAATGATTAAAAAGCAAAACAACTCAAAATGGCACTCATTAAAATTATCCCATTTGCTTCTGAAGAATTTGACTACACAATATGAGGCCACTCTATTTGAGGCAGAACAAGAAAAATTGCTAAACTGTTTGAAAAAATAGGAAAAAAAGAAATCTGGGAAATGCATACTAAATAAATGCAAACACACTTCAGAGGTTCGCTACAGATTAGTGTGAGATAAGACAGAGTGTAAATGTAATGCATCTTACCAAAAACACATCAAAAAACCAGGAATATGAGTCAAGAAGAACTTGTAGGATATATCTATTAAGCTATCCATGTAGCTATCAAGTAATGAGCAACTGCTCAGTGGGAGAGGGAGGGAGGGAGGGAGGGAGGGAGTGGTTGTTGACTATGTGCAAATAACTATAGAGGTTGTGTCTGACTTGTGCATTGCCACACAGAGAAGTTGTGGCACTAAATTGTATTTTATTATGACAACCCACAAAACCGACACACATGCAAACACATAGATATACATAAATACCTTTAAATATATATTCTATCCGGTTGTTCAGTGATGACGCGACAAATCCTACTTCCGGGTCTAAAGTAGTGTGCGTTTAATATGGCTTTTAGAATAGAATAGAGAATAGCCTTTATTGTCATTGTACAGAGTACAACGAAATTGGAGTGCCACTCCCTTGGTGCAAGTTTCAATAATAAATATAAATGTAAAATATAAAAAGTACAAAAAAAAACAATCGTAAGTACTCAAACAATAGTATGTACAATATATACAGGATAGCAGCATTAATATAATGACAGTATGAATAGCAGCATAATATAATGACAGTGACGGTATGGAATAGGTTCAATTGTTTTTGTGCTTATTTACTACGGTGATAGCTCTGGGAAAGAAGCTATCCCTGAATCTGTTTGTCCTGGTTTTATGTGACCTGTACCGTCGGCCTGACGGTAATAGTTCAAACAGTTGTTTGCTGGGGTGAGAGTGGTCCTTGATGATATTGCCAGCTCTGCTGAGGTACCGAGAGTTTGCAGTGACCTCCAGGCTGGGCAGAGAGCAGTTGTGTTGTTAACATGTTTAATGTTATGTATTTTCTTCTATTTGATCTCAAAAAGCTCCTAAAACAGTGAGTGATCCCTGTTGACCTCCCTCGGCTTTTATTACCACTAATCATTTATTTAAGCTCAGTTTTTAAAACCTTAGGATGTAACTACAGCCCAGCCCATGCAGCAGTATATGAATGACTAACCTCGTATTGTGGATGGATTATCTCAGTTGTTCTCCTGGCTGAAGTTTGGTCCTTTTACAGCATCCTGCCATGCGATTACATTTGTTCCTGACCACCGAGAACACTCACGTTAACTTTTATCGAGTGGAAAAAAGTTAGCTTGTTTATATTATGCTAACATAGCTGTGTCACTAGCGGTCACGTAGCACATCATTATATACCAGCTAGCCAAACTTCAGTAACCTTACAAACGTCACTGCTGTTTAGTTTTCTGTCTTCATTCATGCTGGAAGTGATAGCAAAGCTGTACGTTTTAATTTGTTTCCAAAACCCCGCAGTCAGGACATGCTATATTGTATTTAGAAAGAAGCTAGCGAGCTAACTCCCTGCTAACTTCTAACTCCGTTAAATGTCTTAAATTCCGTTTTCATGGATGCCTGGATGTTAAACTCAATTGTTATACCTGGTAGCAGAACGCTGATCATTTTATTAAAGATGAAAGACTTTAGACAGTTTTTCAACTCTCAGTAATGCCACAGTGATCGTTTGATATATGGACCTGCAGCGGAGTTTAGACCCAGACACGGCTAGTGACGTCAGACTGAACAATCGGATTAGCCTCTTATCAGCACAATACAGCTGATATTTGAGTCCATGTTTTACACCATAACATTTAACGCATAACTCTTACTAGAGGTTCTTTATTATTAGCTGAAAACTTAAGATTCCACCCTCATATATGGTCATATGGTAAATGGTAAATGGCCTGTATTTGTATAGCGCTTTTACTAGTCCCTAAGGACCCCAAAGCGCTTTACACAACCAGTCATCCACCCATTCACCCATTTACACATACATTCACACACTGGTGATGGCAAGCTACATTGTAGCCACAGCCACCCTGGGCCACTGACAGAGGCGAGGCTGCCAGACACTGGCGCCACCGGGCCCTCTGACCACCACCAGAAGGCAACAGGTGAAGTGTCTCGCCCACAATCGCCTATCTTTAAAACCTCTAACTCTAAAACACTATGCAACATGGTAGCTACAAATACTAACACTCACCATTCAATGAGGCTACTAAGAACACAAATGAACAAGTAACAAAGTAATAGAAAACCCAACATAAGTTGTCTAAATTAGGCTGCCAAAACAGCCTCAAGAGGATAGTGTCATTGATATTTGGGCAGGACCCCTTCACATGTCATTGTCTGATGTCATTTTTTGTGTCCTTTGCTGCTAGTATTACCATGCAAAGGACATGCTAACTGTAATAAAAAATAAATGGAGAACCTTTATCGTTGTGTAATATCCAGTGTATAATGTGAAAAAGTGTTTCAATAATAATAATAATAATAATAATAAGAGTTCTTATTGTTGTTGTAATTGTTATTGTTATTATTATTATGATTACTTGATAGGACTAAATGTTCCAATCCCTAAAATAAATAGCATCATTCTTGAGTGGGCTTGATGATCGGATCTGTTTTCATACATAAGGTGCACCGGATAATAAGGCGAATTAAGCTAAACAAAACGGTCAGATAAGTCAAATTTTACTCAACTCATTGTTCTTGCTTCCTCCACTTCCCTTTGATGCAGTTATTTCTGACCTTTGCCACTGTTCTTACTGTGATGTTTTTTTTGTTTTGTTTTTTTTTTCACATTGATGTCTTCAGGTGAAACTTTGGGTATTTATTTCAACCAATTGTGTGTTTTTGTCCTCATCCAGCATTAAGCCATTCTTTATGGATGTCTCTCTGCCCAGAGTGTATCACATTTTGTGTTTTAGTTTGCAAAATACTTCTTCCAAAACCTAATCTTTTTTTTTTTTCATTGATATGCTTCATAAGTGGCTTCTATCATCCAGAAAAATAGATTTAATAAAATTATTCAAAAATAAAATAGTTGTTTGGGGGGTTTTTTTTCAAGTAAATTTTAAAAGAACTATTTGTCATACTAACTAATTTGACTTAAACACTGGAAAGCAATTTATTTAATATTTACAAAACAGTAGTGTTATATGATATTTTTGAATTAAGATACAGATTATTATCTTTGCTTATAATGTGTTAGCTGATTTGGATCAGTAGAGGATCATGTGAGTGCAGCTGGCTTGCAAAAGACACATGATGCTTAATATTTATTTTTTTTTCTCTCAACTGAAACATTACAAATAACATCACTTAGAAATGCTTGCTTGCCTATCCCATTTAAGTTTATTCTTAAATGGGACTAATGGCAATATTTTTCTCTCTTGCAAAATTTAGATTTTCATTTTTTAAATTTAGGTGAAAGGAAGGTGTAGGGAATTTTAGGGGTTTATCTCTGCCATTTCCACTATGTGGAAACCATTGGATGTAAACTTCTTAGAAAAGTCACTGTTTTTACAATCACCAGCTGTGCCCTGAGGCATCAGGTTTGTTGATACTGAAAATAATGTTGACAGAGAAGGCGTGGACACAACCTAAGGTTGTCAACACATGAAGTGTCAATAGTACAGAAGAAAGGACTGATAATGATTAGATATGGCACGATACCACTTTTTTATGTCCGATACTGATACCGATATAATAAATTTGGATATCTGCCGATACCGATATGAATCCGATATAGTGTGTTTTTAAATCAATAAAACAGTTTTTTTAATATCTTGCTGCATTTTGTATAAGTTCAAATAAACAACAACACTAAAGCTATTCTGTTATACCTGTATGTAAAAGAACACACTGCACCCAAAATATTTCATAGTTCAGCAACACTGATCAATCTAATAAAGTTAAACCTACTCCATCCTCCCTAATCTGGTTTTTTTAAAGAGTACTTAGCAGAAATATTAAGCAACCTAACTAATAGGGTTGCAAACTCCCAGCAAAAGAAAATAGGGAACCACCCTCTTCCTCATGATGCTTAATCTATGTAATCAACTTTAATTTGATGCAGGGTGAAAAAAAATGCACAGAAATAAATTATTTTTCAAGAATAATTAAATAGATTCAACATCTTTCTTCAACAGAATTGCAGAATTCACAGATGGTACTTTCCCAAAGGAAAAAGTACTACAGCTTACTAGGGTATATTAGACTTAACAGTTACTATATACAGTAATGGACTTCTATACATTTTACATCAGATTAAAACTTTGGGTGTAAGATTCAGATAATTATTAAATAATTAAAAGCTAGATATTTTAAATGAGAATAAGAAAAAAAAGTATGTCTTTGTGCCCCCTTTTCCCTGTTAATGCCCTATCGGCCCCCCTGGCTAAACTTTGCTAGATCTGCCCCTGCACAGCTACGTAGATCCTGGTGTAGAAAGTAATATTAAATAAATTCTAACAACAGCTTATCAAGGTTAAACGTGCTGCTGTTGTTCAGCCGCTGGTTTCCTCTTTCTGGTGCAAAGTGGGCAAAAAACAAAGAAGAGAGACTGACTCACGACAGAAAAGCCGATCAGCTGATCATTAAGCAGTTTCACAATTGAAGTACCAGCAGGAGAGAGAGAGAGAGGCAGTCGCTCCATATATCGGTTGTTAAGCTTAACATGGGAATGCTTTACAAACATTCAGAGATGAACTTACACACTTGCTTTACTTCTCTCTGGGATAACTTTCTCGGAGATGAAATGCCGGTTTGGTAGAGAGGCTACAAATACACACAGCCGCTCTTATGGGCAGAAATCTGTGCCATCAGAAACTGAATTTGAATAAGTTAAATTTGAATTTGAATTGCTCTGATTGAATCTGAATTGTAACTTGAATAAATGCTTTTGAAAACTGAATTTGAATTAGTCTAATTTGAAATTGAATTTATGGTTTGAAAATGATCATCACTAAATTGAAATTGAATTTTATATTTTGAAAATGAATTGATTTGCTTTGAAACTGCATTTTATCCTTTAAAAATTCAGCTCTCGAATAATTTCAGTTTCACTTCTACAATTCAATTTCAGTTCCAAAATTCAGTTTTTTGGAACTTACATCCGGTTCCGGTTCAAGCGCAGATTAATAGAACTACGTTTTACTAGCGGACCGAAAGTGTTACTGACGGGAATCTACAGCGTCTTGAGCTGAATTAAGACTTCAGAAGTCATTCGTCATGTCGAATGACCAGCGGATAAACTCTCAGGTTGGTAATAAATCTATTACATGTATAAGAACAAGCGTCATGTTAACAAATGATAGCCGTAAGGTAACTTT